GTGGGGGAGAATGTAATGATCCAACCAATTATTTTGAGCATTTGCATTCTGTTCAGCTGTTTGAAATCTTGTGTAGCTTCATATGATATATTATGACTTGTGCGAATCGTCGGTTTTGGTTTTAGGTGATTCAGAAATTGATTTGGAAAAATGATTCTCAACTAGGAAGCTTTAAGTTGGAAGAGTTGACCAAGTTTAACTTTAGTGTATTTGGCCTCGGATCGGATTTTTGATGGTTTCGTTAGGTCCGGATAGTGATTTTAGACTTGGGCATATGCCATGATTTACATTTGCCTATTTCTAGAAGGTTTTAGCCATAATTGGTGAAAGTTGGCAATTTGAAGCTTTGGAAAGTTCAAAGATTTGACCAGGATTTGACTTCGATTTTATCGGGTTTGGATTGTGGTTCCAGGAATTATAGGTTCCTTAAGTCATTTGGAACTTCTGCTCAAAATTTGAGGTCATTCAGAGATGATTGAAATAATTCGGCACTAGTTTTGGCAGTTGAAAGTTCAAAAGTTCATTTAAGTTTCATTCAAGGTGCGATTTGTGGTTTTAATGAATTATGTATGATTTGAGGCCTCGAGTAGGTCCGTGTTATGTTTTGGGATTTGTTGGTATGTTCAGATGGGGTCTTGAGGTCTCGGGTGAGTTTCGGACGTGTTTCAGATCATTTTCCCTTCATGTGTGGTTGTTGGTAGCTGCTGGAACAGATGTTGCGCACCTGCGGTTGGTTTTACGCAGGTGCGGTGGTCGCAGAAACGAGGTCACTAATGCACCTACGAAGAAGGCTGAAGATAGGCTGTGTCTGGAGATATGGTGTAGAGGACGCATATGCGAGGGTGCATATGCGGTTGTTTGACGCAGAAGCAAAAGGCTAGGTTGTGGAGAACATCGCAGATGCGAAGTGTGAAGCACACTTGCGGGAGTGCAGATGTGGGAATGGGTGCACATGAGAGGAAGGGAAGCTTGGTTGGGTTTTCCGCAGAAGTGAGAAAGCCTCGCACCTGCGATGTCGCAGAAAAGGAACTTGGTCCATAGGTGCGAGAGGTCGGGCATTAAGTAATTTTCCGCAGAAGCGGAGGTGATGTCGCAAAAGCGACGCCGCAGAAGGGCTAATGTTTCACAAATGCGAAAATGCCTGAACAGTTCCTATTTATTCGAGGGTTGAGTATTTCATTCATATTTTTGAGTTGGGGAGCTCGGTTTTAACGATTTTGGTGAGGATTTTCATCACATGGATTGGGGTAAGTATTTTTGACTTGATTATGATTATATTCCATGATTCCATATTCCATTTATGGCGTTTGATTGATGATTTTTCAAAGACAATTTGGGGGGTTTTGCCTAAATTTTTCTAAAGTGAATTATTGAGTATTGAACATCGATTCGGAGTCGGATTTGAGTGAAACTAGTATGGTTGGACTCGTAATTGAATGGGTTGTCGGAATTTGTGATTTCATTGGGTTCCGAGGTGCGGTACGGGTTTGACCTTTTTGATTGAATTTGAGTAATTGATTAAAGAATCGACTATCATTTGGGTTGGTCTCCTTTGGCATTATTTGATGTTTTGGAGTTGCTTTTGGCTAGTTCGAGTCGTTCAAAGGTCGATTCGCGGGGGATGTCATTCCTAGACTATTGGTTGGCTTGCTCGGTATTTGATTTAGCTTGCTTGAAGTAAGTATCTTACCTAAACTTGGTTGAGGCACTAGTTGCTTGAATTATTTGTGATAGCTACGTACTATAAGTGCGCATATGTGTGGGGTTTGAGCCCATGTGCGAGCACCGGGGTATTTATCCATGTTTGGGGTAGTGCTTAGGCTATGATATGCCTAGAATGGACTATTAAGCTTTAAGCTATGATGTTTCTCATATTTGTAACATTGTTGTGAACTATCTGAGCCATGTCTGAGGTTACGAAGAGACTAATTCCCTGAATAAACTCGGTATTTGCTAATTCTGTGATGAAATTGCCAATATAAGTTAAGATAGCACACGTTGCACATGGCTACACTTTAGCATGTTAGTATACCAGTCCAGGAGCATGAAATATAATATTTCTTCATCATATACATGTGTTCTTGTATACTTGCTTATGTGTGATATGATTTGGACTAGATACATGTGACCACGCTGGGCGGATTGTGTTGTTATGCATGTGACCACGCCAGACGGATTGTAATATAGCCTATGACCACGTCGCACAGATATGTTATATTGAGCATGTGGCCACGCCGGGCGGATTATGATATTGAGCCTCTGACCACGCCGGGCTGGTAGCACATTGAATTGGTCGTGCTTGCGTGGGAATAAGGATCCATCCCCCTAGGGTCACCCTCTCATGTTTCTATCTTGATGGTGTACACGCAGATTATGAGAAACCGATGGGTTTCTAGTTAATGTGAGCTTCAGGAGAGTTGGTTATTGTTATTTGTATCGGGTTGCACGCCGCAACAGGCTTTATTGGCTTACTGTTATATGGATCGGGTTGTGCACAGCAACGGACTAATTTCTGGTTATTGCATTTCATCTTTACTTGCAATTTCCTTGAGTGTTTACCTGATTTACTTGCATATCGTCCTTATATGCTAGATTGTTGGCTGAGTAAAACACTTTAAAATAAAGAATTATGAGCACGAAGGTGGTCTTACCTGTGATTTACCTGATTTGATCATATATCTATTCTATACTTGTTGAAGTTATGAACTGCACAGGTAATCCACGAGTATCATTTATAGTTCTTGCTTCTATTACCTCGCCGGGGTTAGTTAGGATACTTATTGAGTACATGGAGTCGATTGTACTCATACTTCACTTCTGCACCTTACGTGCGGATCTTGGAGCTGATGTTGGTGTGTACTGCGGGAGCTGGCATTGAAGATGTACCTGTGTTCTGGTTATAGCTTCCACTTGTCCTTGGTAGCTTTAGATTTGCAAATCTTTTCATGTATATTCCGAACAGATGATATATTTTTTTCGTACTAGCTTGGTAAAGTCTAAATCTTAGAAGCTCGTGATTTGTACTACCGGTCCTTGGGGAATTATATAAAGTCAATTATTTCACTTTTGATTCTTATCTTTATCATTAAATCGTGTTTATTATTATCTGGCTTACCTAGCGGGTTGGGTTGGGTGCCATCAAGACTGGTTGGATTTTGGGTCGTGACACTCCCTTAACTGTGTGGCTCGCCTAGAAATCATGCCTATAGGACTTAACCAATTCAGCATATTCATCAACTATCCATGTATGAACTCCAAACTTTATTGTGTCAAATTGGTCATCTGTACGTCCACCTAGTAACCATGCCTTAGGATTAATTGACTCACAAAGTATTTGTTCACCTTGTTTCTGATTAGAGCACACTCTCGTTTGACTGTTTTGCTATGGTCCTTCGCTGATGTTTGGAAAATCACAAGCATGTGAACCTATGTGTAGAGTTGAATGTGAACCCTTTTGTGCTAATTGCATCTTACATGAAGGCCTACTTGTTTCAACTATATGACACTTAGTTTTTTCTTTTCATTTTGAGCAGCCTAGATTGAGTCTAGAACCACCTGTATAGTGGTCCAAAGTCTCCTGGACCATAGGCATGAGATGGGTAGGCATGCGTAGGACGCGACTTAGAATTGAACTAGTACACTTTAGGTAAAAAAACCTTAAAGATAGTAATCGGATAGAAGGAGATAATAGTCTGTGCTCGCTGGATAATATGAGCAACCCTTGTACTTTAAAGGATTGCGAACTATTATTTATATTGCACGAGGTGATCCTTTAGGCTAAAAAGTTTAGGACCCCCCATGTCTAATTATTCCTTATATACTTGTTTGTTGAGAAGCCTATATTTGACTAAGATATATCTTGTAATTTTCAAAGAGTTGTACCAATTATTTATTAGTGGACAAGTTATTTCATTCACTTGTGTACAGTTTCTCTTAATCAATTATTTTGTCCTATTTTAACTTCGAATAGTTGATCAATTACTCGGACCCTTTACTATCCCTTAATTGGCATGCTCACGTAAAGTAGTTATAATTCGATAATCCTCACATAGTATAAAATTCGGCTAGGAACCACATTTGTGGACCTCGAAGAGTGCCTAACACCTTCATTTTTAGGTAATTTGATCCCTTACCCGATCTTTGGGGACACAGACTAGTTAAAATAGAGTTTTTTGCAAATAGGTGCCCTAACACACCCCAAAATTGTTAGGTCGCGACTCCTCTCTTCTAACACCCATTTAAAAGAGTTGTTACATGTCGAAACTCACTTTTACGAGAATACGGGGTGCAATAGTGGCTCTGCGGCAAGGCGGCATAATGCGTGCCAAACTTGGCATTATACAAAGCGCGAGGTGGCATGAGAGGTGCAGGGGTTTCGGCACGAAGTGGTATGAGAAGCACCACTGCCTGCGCATTTGAATCTGCCCTACGCCACTCCCTGCATGTTGGAATCTGCCCCATGATGGCAAGTGTTTTTTGAACTGTTTTCTTTTGTTTTACATGCTATTACCTCTTGCTTCGACCATTAGTCACAACGTTTCTCTGTGTAGATCCAATACCTAGCAAAACATGTCAAAATCACACAAAACTAACCATCAATACCTTCTCATAATCAAAAGTAAAACATTAATAACTAAACTGCATCTAATCTAAGAATTGGGTTGCCTCCTAACTAGCGCTTGATTTAATGTCACGACACAGCGTAGGTTACGCTTTCAAGCATTTGACAAATCTATAGTGGTGTATTGACTATGAATGCCACCACCAAAATAGTGCTTCACTCTTTTCCTATTGACCAAGAAAGTACCATCTTTTTCAGGCTCTCACATTTTCACGGCTCCATGAAGCGTAACACGAACCACTTCGAAAGGACCTGACTATCTAGATTTAATCTTTCTAGGAAAGAGCTTCAATCTCAAGTTGAACAAGAGAATGGATTGTCCTGGCTCGAACTCACAATGATTAATATGCTTATCATGCTATCTGTTTGTTTTTTCTTTCTACAACTTGGCATTGTCATATGCATGCAACCGAAATTCATCAAGTTCATTGAGTTGCAACATCCTTTTCTCTCTGGCTAAGTCCACATCAAAGTTGAGCTTTTTGATTGTCCAACGTGCCTTGTGCTCCAGCTCAATGGGCAAGTAACACACTTTCTCATAAACTAACATGTATGGAGAAGTGACAATTGGAGTTTCATAAGCACTGCAATGTGCCCATAGAGCGTCATCAAGCTTGAAAGCCCAATCTTTCATACTTGCACTTACCGTTTTCTCGAGAATTTGCTTCACTTCTCTATTTAACACCTTAACTTGACCATTAATCCACATATGATAAGCAGTAACCGCCTTAATGTTTGACCCCATACTTAGCCAATAGATTACCTAACAATTTATTACAAAAATAAGTTCCCCCATCACTAATCAAATCACGCGGAGTCCCGAATCGTGTAAAGAAGTTCTTTTTTAAAGTTCCCCACTACCTTAGAATCATTGGTAGGAAGAGCAATGGCCTCGACCCACTTGGACATGTAGTCGACTGCCAACAAAATGTGCTTGTTTCTATTAGAGTGTGGGAACGTCCCATAAAATCAATCTCCCAAACATCAAAGAACTCCACCTCCAGAATATTTTGCAAATGCATCTCGTACTTCCTTGTAATTTTTCTAGTTCTTTAGCATCTATCACACTTTTTCACAAAGGCATGTACATCCTTAAACAATTTCGGCCAATATAAACCTAACTGGAACACCTTCGTGATTGTTCTTTCTCTACCATGATGGCCTCTATATGGCAAGGCGTGACATTCATGCAAAATTGCTTCCACCTCTTCCTCGGGAATACACCTTCTCACCACTTGATCTACATATTGCTTATACAAGAATGTCTCATCCCACAAGTAGAATCTCATATCATCTAAAACTCTTCTTCTGCTATCTGGTGATAAATCCGGTGGCATCACCCCACTAGCTATAAAATTCACATAATCTGCATATCATAAGGTTGTACCACATGCAATGACTAGTAACTACTCATTCGAAAAGTTTTCTTTTATCAAACTTCCCTCAACCACAGTATTCTGATTTTCTAACCTAGACAAGTGATCGGCCACTTGATTCTATATTCCTTTTCGATCTCGGAACCCCAAGTCTAATTCCTGCAAAATAAAAACACAAAATATTAGCCTTGGCTTAGCATATTTCTTTCAAACAAATACCTGATAGCTGAGAGGTCTATGTAGACGATGACATCAATGCCTACTAGATAGGCTCTGAATTTTTCAAACGCACATACTACAGCAAAAAACTCCTTTTCAGTGACTATATAATTCATCTAGGCTAGAGTTAGAGTTTTAAATGCATAGTAGAGTGGAACATCTTATTAATCCTTTGGTCCAAGATAACTTTAATTACTACATCACTCACATTACACATCAACTCAAATGGTTCGGCCAAATCTGTGCCCAACCTTTTCTTCAGCTCCTCAAATGCTTTCAAACAAGCATCTTTAAATTTGAAGGGGGTATCTTTCTCAAGAAGCCTGCGAAAAGGAGATAATTTTTTTTAAAAATCCTTAATGAATCGACGATAAAAACATGCATGGCCCAAGAAACTACGAATGCCCTTCACATATCTAACAACCTAGTCGAACGTTTTATTTACTTGTTTGATCCTTCTCATATGTTTTTGTATTATTTTTTGAGTTGCGGGGATGGTTGGTTCTGTTTTGGGAAGGTTTTAGAGTGAATTGGGACACTTAGTTCTATTGTTAGAATCTTAAGATGTAAGAGTTGATCAAGGTTTAACTTTCAAGTAGATGACCTCGAATTGGTAATTTGGTGGTTTCAATGTGTTCATATGGTGATTTTGGACTTAGGTGTATGTCAATATTTGAATTTAAAGGTTTCTAGAGTGTTTTGGCTCTAATTGTCGAAAGTTTAAAAGTTGAAGGTTTTGAAGGTTCATAGGTATGACCAAGAGTTTACTTTAATGATATCGGGTTTGGATTATCATTTCAGGGCTTGGAATAGGTCTGTTATGTCATTTGGGACTTGTCTATAGAGTTCAAACACTTGGTTTGAAGTTTCGAAGCTTATGAAATTAAGAGAAGTTTAATTTGTGGTTTAATCGTCGATTCGTAGATGTGATGTTATCGTATGTGTTCGTAGGATTTTAATAGGTCCGGATAGCATTTATGGACTTGTTGGTGTGGTGGACGGGGTCTCGATGGCTCGGGAGAGTTTCGGAATACCCGGAGCTTGATTGAGATTTCAGATTTTCTGTTGGTGTCTGGTGTACTTCGCGATCGTAGAGCAGGTCTCGCGATTGCGGAGGCTTATTTTGAGGCAACTGGGTTTTATTCTTCATGTTCGAGGATAGGATGCCGCATTCGCAATGGTTTATAGTTAGTGGCCTTCGTGTTTGGGTTCAATGTGTCATGTTCTCGTAGAGATGAGTCAGGATGGGGTCAATTGGAGGATGGTCTTCGCTATCGCGTGAAGAGTAACGCGTTCGCGCAGGCTTGTGGTCGCATGTGTATCACGTTCTCGTGGGTTTTACTGCGTTCAAGAAGGGTCTTCTTTGAGGTAGCATCAGGTTGTGCTTCACGAATGCAAGGATTGGATCGTATTCGAGAGGAGTAATGTTGAGCAGACTCATTTAAGTTCTAATTTCGGGATTTTATCCCATTCACTCATATTTTGAACCCTAAACGTAGAGAGGGGCAATTTTTGCAGGAAACTTTCATAAGGGTGTTTGTCGGTCGGTACGGTATGGTATTTAGACATTTCGGTTCGGTATTAGATTTCTTAGAAAGCAATACCAATACCGTACCTAATTAAATTAGGTATGGTTCGATTTTTCTCCTTTCTGTTTCAGTTTATTCGGTTTGGTAACTTCGGTTTATTCGGTTTGAATACTAACTTGTACATAGAGTTATAGACTGTAATATTCTAAACTAAAGTACTCAAAAGTACAAAACTAAAAATATTTGTTGACAAAAGTTTTGTCTAAAACTAGCAAATATCAACCCAGAGAGAGAAAATTGTATATAAAAGAATAAATTTGATCATTACAAATGTGTTATTACTTGCTTAGAGTTAATTGATGAACTTAGAGAATAACAGAAAGTAAAATTTTAGATTTTTATATTTATGTTATAATTAATAATATGTGTATTGTGTAATATAATATATATTTCGGTACGGTGTCAGTATTTCGGTATTTTATTTTATAATACCAAATACCATACCTAATACTAATATTTTTTAAATCTTAAACCAAATACCATACCAAATACCAAAATTATCGGTTTCGGTACGGTAATTCGGTATTTACCAAATTATGTACAACCCTAGAATTTCATACAAAATATTGGGGTAATTGATTTATACTCGTGTTTGGTTTTATATTAAGAATCTACATGAAATATTTCACCTAGACATGAAATATTTAGGGAAATTTGGGGTTTTTTCCTACAACTTAAGGGAGTGGAAATTGGAGATTTTGGAATTTACTTAGAATCCATTTTGGAATCTAATCACATATTTGGACTGATGGGGTTATCGGTAGTTGGGATCTACCCCTTGACTGAGGTTTTGACCATGTGGGCCCAGGTTGACTTTGGTTGATTTTTGGAAATTGAATAAAGATCGAAACTTTATTGTTTGGAATCGATTCATATGGCTTTGTTTGACGTTATTGAGTTGTTTTTGGATAAATTGACCCATTCGGAGGCTGATTTGAGAGGCAAGGGATTTTTAGAGTATTGATTCTCGCGTGTTGGAGGTAAGTATCTTTCCTAAGCTTGTTTTGAGGGTAATTTTCCTATTAGCTATGGTACTTGATATATGTTGGGTTGACTCGCATGTGAGGGAGGGAGTATATGTGTACACCATAGTTATTCATGATCCGGGTAGACTCTTGGCTCTAATGTGCATTGTTTTTCTATCATGCCTTTTTGATATATTGTGTTCTCTACTTGTATGACCACTTGGGCTGTTATGCATGCTAGAAATCATGTCTAAGTTATGTGCTTATACGTCTGAGACATGATAGAGCTATTTTGCTATGCTAAGCTGTTTAATTTGATTGTAGTCATATTTTTAAGTCATGATATTATATTTGTGTGTTATATCACCATCTTTATACACTTCTTATATGTTATCTCACATATTGTTAGTGTCCTTACTTGTGTGACACGGGTTTGAGCGGATTTATGGCACATTGGCATCATCCACGCGGTATATTGATTTTGATACTGTAATATGTTAACATATTGAGATTTGAGCAGATTTATGACTGAACTTGGGCCATAGAGTCGTGTTGATATTTATAGTGTGGTGACGCATGCGCCAGGCCCCATATTGGGCTGAGTGGTAATAATAGTGAGGTGACATGTGCGTCAGGCCGCATAATGGGCTAAGTGATGATGATCGTTGACTTTTGGTCCGATCAGTGCTTGGGCTAGGATATATCCCTATGGAGTCAGGTGATAGCCCTTCCTACTTTGGGCCCTGTGAGTGTAGGCACTTGATGCGTGCTTGGTAAGGGACATATGTCAGGCACCCGTACAGTGCTGAGTGAGTGTGTGTATTTGTGTGATGATTGAGGGGTACTTGTGTCAGGCACTATACATGTTCTGAGGTTTGGTATATTTGTTGTTTAGATCTTGGAATCGCAGTTAAATTAATAAATCCATGTATGAGTGATTTCTATGGAAAGATTTACGTCTTAACTATTATACTCGAAAGGAATGCCTATTTCTCCTCTTGTTGTGAAAAGGTTGAACTTGATATTACTTGAGCTACTATTCCTTTTGCCATTATTGTACTGTTATTATTGTTGTTGACTATTGAAAATGAATATTGGACCTTGCCAATCTCGCCACTGCTTTTAGCCCGATGTTAGGCTTGCTACTTATTGAGTATATGGGGTTGGTTGTATTCGTACTATACTCTGCCTTTTATGTGCAGATCTAGGTGCTTCTAATAGAGGTGATTTCTAGAGGGTGGCATCTGTTCATGTTGGAGACTCCAAGGTAGCACTATTGTTCCGTTCGTAGGCCTTGAAGGAATTTTTCCTATTTCATGTTATTAATGTTAAGTCATTCAGAGAGTATTGTATTTTATTCAGATCTTGTACTTATTACTCTATAGATCTCATATGCCAACGACACCAGACTATGAGATGGTTTTCCGTTGTACTAGTATTTGACTTATGTTATTTATATTATCTACATCTGAGACTATCTAATATTGCTATTAAAATTTATTTATGCACATTGGTTGTTGGATTGCCTATAAAGCGGTGTTAGTGCCATCACGACTCCGACGGGATTTTGGGTCGTGAAAAGTTAGTATCAAAGCC